AATTTAAATAGCTTTGAGCTCCTAACAGTATACGTCTATTTATACTTAAGTTTTATTGCCCTTTGAACCCTGCCCAACTACTATTTGCACCATTATTAGTTGTAAATCACTTGGCAAACTTGTATGCTGCTTGCAAGTGTACTTCATGAAAAATTTTATTATATTCTTATTATTATATATTTCACCTAATTTAACCATAACTAACAAAAAGTTTCCTATTTTTACATTTTAGTTACTTTTATAATAATAAATAAAGAATACACATGAAAAACAAGAAATATAGTCCTTACCTGGGTCTTCATTTTGCTGTGGACTGTCAGTGACATTCATACTTTTTTATACTAATGGTAGTAGTGCACTAAATGCACCAAAGAACACAGAATAATAACATGTCATTTGCGAGTGGAAAGATGCCTGAACTATGTTGATGAGACTTGGTGTTTGGTCATATGTTTTATTCTGCTGCTGAAAATCATGGATGTGGGTCTTCAGTAGGTAATGAAGGCAGGATTGTAACTGAAAGCAGAGAAGTGTTTACATGTGTATAAACAGGTGGGATTCCTTGTTGGAATAGACCCTATAAAAACTGTCAGCCATCAGAGATTGTCACCAGCACGACTAAATAAGAGATTCTCCATTTTTCATATCATATTATCAACTATATTTTAACAGTTTCTCTAAGATGGTGCTTAAAACAAGCACATTTTAAGTGGCTAAAGATCTGACAGTTTAGTTTTGCTCCTAAATGTACTTTAGTAGAGGTGCTTGTGTTAGATAGTCCATTCATGGTAGATACTGATGATAATGGAATTGGAGTGGCATTGTTTCTGGTGCAGAATTGAGTAGGACATGTAACTGCATATGCTAGTAATGTGCTGATGACTTCTTAATGTAGATGCTGCTTTACAAAGGGAGAACTGCTTGCAATTATACTATTTGTTAATAATGCTGTAGGGCAGGAAATTCACCATTCACATGGACCATTTGTAACTGAAGTAGTTGGTGAGAACTTGTCCATTTGTTGAATGACCTGTTTTTGGATATCATGCAAGAGTGAAAGTTACTGCAACAGCAGTAACAGACAACTATATGATGTATGATTCCACTCATGAATGGACTCCTTAAATGACACTGGCAAGTCTAGGAAGAACCTCATAAAGGACCTGGATGTAGCTTAGGCATCACTTGCTGTGTAGCAAGGTGAAATGTGAATTGCAATTACAGGAACATAACCTGTGGCACTTGTGCAGAAGTTGCAAGAAGATGAGCTGTATTATTGTTATAAACCACTAAGTGTTGGTTCTTAGTCTGAGATTAATCTAATTGCCCAGATTTCTGATACAAAAATAATGCCAGACTTAGTATATTGCAAATACTGGACGATCCAGGATGTTTTTAGCATGGGAAGGTGAGTGATGGTGCAAACACTTCTGTATGTGTTACCAAGAAATAAAACTGGCCACATCAGAGTAAACTGAACACTTCTATATGTGTTACCAAGAAGTAAAACTGGCCACATCAGAGTAAACTGAACACTTCTATATGTGTTACCAAGAAGTAAAACTGGCCACATCAGAGTAAACTGAACACTTCTATATGTGTTACCAAGAAGTAAAACTGGCCACATCAGAGTAAACTGAACACTTCTATATGTGTTACCAAGAAGTAAAACTGGCCACATCAGAGTAAACTGAACACTTGTATATGTGTTACCAAGAAGTAAAACTGGCCACATCAGAGTAAACTGAACAGAAAGTTACTGGTTTTGCTTTATAGAGAATAGTCCTGAAATAGTTGATCCATTCCAAAAGACTCAGTGAAGGTATTTGCTATGTGCTTGTTATTATTGATTTTTATTTAAGTACATGTAGTTTGTTTATAATTGGTTGGAAGCTACTATAGAAGCCTATTATTGAAGTTATAATCTTCTGAAATTGAGCTCAGACGCATCACGTGCCACAGAAAAATGAAGACTGAGATTTTTTTTAATATTTATATTTGAAATTAAATCAAAATGTAGCTAATATAAAAATTTGAACTATAAGCTACTTTTTCATGTTGTGTGTATTGACATACATTGATAATAAATTTTCAATGCATAGGGCTAAATTGAGTTGTGTTTTGTTGTTAACTTCTCCAATGCAGCTGTACATTTTCTCATGCTAATTTCTACTGTGGATGAACTACCAACTGATCATGCATTTCTCTTACAAAAATGTGCTTTAGTTGAGTCTATGATCTGAACTTGTTCTTGGTAAAACTATTCATTCATCCTGGATACATGTGCCAATGATAGTGCAGTTAATGTTGTGATATCACAAGTGCATGGAACATGGAATTATTTATTGATGACCCTTGGCTGTTAATATAAACAAAAAAAGACTGCTTGAAATTACAGTAATTTTCATTTTTGAGTTAAGTGTAAACCTAAGGACAGAATTTGGAAGCTGAGTGTAAAATCTCATTTTGTTAAAATTAACATATTTTTTTACCACTTCCACAGAAAATATAAGAAAAATATAAAAGGTCTACTTTTAAAGCAAGTTTGCCCAGGAATTGAATCCCTAGTCTCTAGATAATGGTACATTGTATCAAAATCTTAATGTTTCTAGATATTTAACTTGTATGTAGATCTTTTGAACAGGAACTGTAACTCTTGTTGTGAGTCAACTTATTAAAATATCAAAGCATTAGACATATTATAATCAACCACTTGAAGTAAGAAGGTAACTGATCCCTTAAAAGCTAGTTAGAATGTGGAGCTGAAGTATGTCCTCAAAACTTTGTTCTTTGGGTGAATTATAAGAGTGCAGGTTAATTCAAGAGTTGGCTGTGGGTGTTGTTGCCTTCCCTCTAATTTATCACTTCAAAATTAGAGACTACTAGTGCAAATAGCCCTGGAGAAGTTTTGCACCACAGTTCAACAAACATATCCTAGAAATTACTAGATGTTGGTTATTGTGGCAGCACCTATTCACAGTTACAAACCTTCCTTTGAACATTGTTTATTATCTTCATTTTACAAACACTAAGTTATGCTCTCGATGCTGTATGGAACTTTTTCTAATATTTTAAACTTTGACAATATCATCATTTCATCTTCCAGATCTCTCTCACTCTTTCATTTTTTTTAAGGTGCATAATTGCTTTGTTGAATTTTATATTTTTATTACCTGAATGTATTAGACCAATATACATGTACTTAGAAATTCACCAAATTATTGTATGATGTATTAATTAATAAATAAATTCTTCATATCCATATTTTTTATTTTAGATATAAAGACCTATGTGAACACTTCTTCAGGAAATCAGTTTGCTAGTGATCATGTTTTAACACAAGAAGATCCCTTTATGAAAACGGAGGTCAACAAATCTCGGAAACCAAATAGTGATATATTTGGAAAAACAAATTTAAGTAGAAATAACCTCAAACAATCTAATATACCTTATAGTGGTAAGAAACCATACAACTGTGTAACATGTGGGAAACAATTTTGAACAAATAGTGTTTTAAAAATTCACCTGAGAATACACACTGGAGAAAAACTATATAGCTGTTCAGTGTGTGGCAAAACATCTGCAACAAATAGTGAACTGAAAATTCATCAGAGAATACACACTGGAGAAAAACCATATAGCTGTTCAGTGTGTGGCAAAACATTTGTAACAAATAGTGCCCTGAAAATTCATCAGAGAATACACACAGGAGAAAAACCTTACAGTTGTAAGGTATGTGGTAAAAAATTTAGATATAATAGTAACTTAAAAATGCATGAGACAATACACACTGGAGAAAAACCATATAGTTGTATAGTTTGTTTCAAAAAATTTGGAACAAATAGAAATTTAAAAGATCATTTGAGAATACACACTGGAGAGAAACCATACAGTTGTGAAATATGTGAAAAACAATTTAGACGAAATAGTGACCTAAAGATACATGAAAGAATACATACTGGAGAGAAACCACACAGTTGTGAAATATGTGAAAAACAATTTAGACTAAATAGTGACCTAAAGATACATGAAAGAATACATACTGGAGAGAAACTAAACAGTTGTTCTTTTTGTGGCAAAACATTTGTAATAATGAGTAAGCTAAAATATCATGAGAGGGTACACACTGGGGAGAAACCGTACAGTTGTGTAACCATTTGTTCCAAATTCTTTGCCACACACTATGCAACTGTATGGTTTTTCCCCAGTATGTCTTCTTTCATGTCTCTTTAGGTAACAATTTGTTCCAAATTTTTTACCACACACTGTACAACTGTATGGTTTCTCCCCAGTATGTAATCTCTCATGTTTCTTTAGGTAACTCTTTGTTCCATATTCTTTGCTACAGATACTATCTCATGTTTCTTTAGGTTACTCCCCAGTGTGCCATTTGTTCCAAATTCTTTGCCACACACTATGCAACTGTATGGTTTTTCCCCAGTATGTCTTCTTTCATGTCTCTTTAGGTAACAATTTGTTCCAAATTTTTTACCACACACTGTACAACTGTATGGTTTCTCCCCAGTATGTAATCTCTCATGTTTCTTTAGGTAACTCTTTGTTCCATATTCTTTGCTACAGAGGTTTCTCCCCAGTATGTGTTCTTTCATGTCTCTTTAGGTAACAATTTGTTCCAAATTTTTTACCACACACTGTACAACTGTATGGTTTCTCCCCAGTATGTAATCTCTCATGTTTCTTTAGGTAACTCTTTGTTCCATATTCTTTGCTACAGATTACACAGCTGTACGGTTTCTCCCCAGTGTGTACTATCTCATGTTTCTTTAGGTTACAATTTGTTAATACAGTTGCATAGTGTGTGGCAAAGAATTTGGAACAAATGGTAACCTAAAGAAACATGAGATAGTGCACACTGGGGAGAAACCATACAGTTGTACAGTTTGTGGTAAAGAATTTGTAACAAATTGTAACCTAAAGAAACATGAGATAGTACACACTGGGAAGAAACCATACAGTTGCATAGTGTGTGGTAAAGAATTTGTAACAAAGAGTTACCTAAAGAAACATGAGATAGTACACACTGGGGAGAAACCGTACAGCTGTGTAATCTGTAGCAAAGAATATGGAACAAAGAGTTACCTAAAGAAACATGAGAGATTACATACTGGGGAGAAACCATACAGTTGTACAGTGTGTGGTAAAGAATTTGTAACAAATTGTTACCTAAAGAGACATGAAAGAAGACATACTGAGGAGAAACCATACAGTTGCATAGTGTGTGGCAAAGAATTTGTAACAAATTGTAACCTAAAGAAACATGAGATAGTACACACTGGGGAGAAACCATACAGTTGTACAGTGTGTGGTA